GTCATTGCATGTGTTTTGTGAGTCTGAAAAGAACTTTATACATTGGCATCAGACATATGGATTAATATTGGACTTATGGACTTGATCTGGACTGGGCTGGGATGTTTTCTCAATATTCAATTGCTCTTGTATATAAACCTATTCCTTATACACATATGAGTGTCTCTATGAGTTTGTTTCTCTAGTCTACCCGGACTAACACAACAGGTAATGCAACAGTTCTGAAGAGGTGGACAACAGCCTTTTGCTAAGAGACTAAGCTGAGAACCTATTTTTGGAGCAATAATTATCTACGTACCTGCATTTCCTCAGCTCTTGGGCCATGTGGTATCATCCACTGGGTGCCTCCAGGGGAAGAGATTGTACTGAAAACTCTAAATTTCCTTCTGGATTAAAAAAATATATATACCTTGGGAGATGTAGTTTTCTATCATTTCTTTTCTTTGGAGTAATAAACCTGGGAATGCCCAGGGGTGGTTGCCCTAACCCATTGCTTGTTCATGGAAATGGAGTATGAATCAATATACATTTAAGACTTGCTTAAAAGAAAGGGCCTTCTCAAATTGTCGGTGAGCATTTCTCTGAGAAGGATAGGCCACGCCTCCTTTGTTTTCTCCTACCATGTTTTGTGTATAAAATTTGGACTTGGATTTAAAAATTATAGATGTTCCACTTCTTAGCTGCTTTATTAGATGAGGAGAATGAGCTTCCCCTTTGAAGCTCATAGGAGAGAGGCGTTCTGAACAGACCTGGCAAATGGAAATATGGCCGATGACATCCCCGAGGGTTCTCTGTGGTAGCTGCACACTTTGTGAAGCTGGCCGTCAGCGATGCTCTTACGACTTATACTCAGCCCCGAATACCTTTACCCTTCATTAGTATATGCTACCCCTGACTTTACTAATGCCCGGATTTTTATAGATTTTCCTATAAAAGTGTCATAAATATCTATTGTTTTCCCTTACTCTCCAGGCAGAATGAGCATCACAGAAGACAAGGCACGGGGACCGGTGACATGGTGCATATCCACCGCGGCGCCAGTGCTGAGTCTGCATCTATGAGGCTCCACAATGGATATCAGACTGAAGCTCTCAGGATAGCTATGGCCATCCATGGGCTTCAGTTCTTTCTTGTCATTCCTTTGCCACAGGGTCCCTCTCCGAGGACAGAGGGGAAACGTGCATGGGCAGAATAGGAACTGTTTGCACTCACTTCCACCAGAGCTTTCTTGATGACTCGGCTGATGTCCCGCCTCCACTCAGGGATGTCTGGGTTGTAGTCGTCCAGGTTTGGAGAAAAGGAGAGTCGCAGGGACTGGAATTCCTCTGGGGACACAACAGCAGGGGAATTAGCACCACTGAAAATGTTCTTCCAAAAAGCTGATGTGGATTTGTATCATATACAAAGCCCTGCAAAAGGGTCTCTCCCATTTGTAGTCTTCTCAAGGTTTTTAGAACACCTTGCCTCCATTGTTTCAAGAGCCTCCTCTTTCCAGACCCAAACCCTTTGACTTTGAATCAGTCCTTTGTTCTACAGGAATGGGCCTATCTGAAAGTCAGTCCTTCATACTACAGGAATGGGCCTATATTCAAATCACTGCAGCAAATGGCTGGAAACAGGCAGTGGAACACATTGCCTTGATGCTAAGTCGGCGAGGGCTTCTCAGAACACACCTTGGTCAATTATGCTTTCTGGAGTTGAACCTCAAAGACTAGTTGCTATTCTGCTGGCCCACACTTACCTCTATAACCTTGGCTTTTAGGGATCTGGACTGCCCAAAATCTCTGGCAGGTCTATGACTCTGGGCCTTTGTGCACGATGATCCCCCACCTAGAAAGCTCCTTTTCTCTACAATCAGTTCACAAAATTGTTCAATTCTAGTTCAAGCCTTTACTGGGTGACCACCTACCCCATATTTCAATTTTCTCTTTTGTGATATCACTGTATTTTGCACAGGAGCCCTGGTGGCATAATGGTTACGCGTTGGCCTGCAATCCAGAAGGTCAGCAGTTCAAAACCACCAGCTCTTGCATGGGAGAAAGACAGAACTTTCTATTCCCATTAAGAGTTAGTTTCCAAAACCCACAGGTTGCAGTTCTACCCTGTTCTATATGGTCAGAGTAAGTCAGCATCAACTTGAAGGCAATGCGTTTTGTTTTGTTTTATTTCCTTTGAGTATTTTGCACATCCCCTTATTTTTATTAGATGATGGTGTAATAATTATGTGATTATGCAATAATTATTAGTGTACTTGTTCGATTGCTTGTTTGTTTGCAGGGACGTTTCCTAGAATGGACTCTAAGCTACTTAGTTGAGGATTTCACTAGTTGACTCTGTAGTCCCTGAGCTCATCTCTGTCCTCTGACAAGCAGTCTCCCTGATAGGATTGAATGAACAAGAGTGCTATGGGGGAACTGGCTGTGAGGGGGAAAGACGAGGAGGTCACAGGAAGTTCCCTTGGATCCTGATAGCTCTATAAATGACCTGAAGTGACAGAGGGAAGGGAGGTGGAGTAGCAGGGTTCTTCACCACCATGCAATCTCAGGAAGGTTCAGAGAGACGGTCAGGGAGTCCTTGAGCCCAAGTCCCTGGCAGAAGAATCAGTCCTCTGTTCTACAGGAATGGGCCTATCTGAAAGTCAGTCCTTTGTACCATAGGAATGGGCCTATATTCAAATCACTGCAGCAAATGGCTGGAAACAGGCAGTGGAACACATTGCCTTGATGCCGAGTCGGTGAGGGCTTCTCAGAACACACCTTGGTCAATTATGCTTTCTGGAGTTGAACCTCAA